ATTCCTGAGTGGTCATGCCTAAACAGCAGCTATAGGTTCAATGATGGGCATACCACAGTCTGCAGAGAGCAGTCCTCTTTGGAGTTGCAGTGTAACCACCGATAGCTGTACAGATCTATGCCACAATATACCGATAAATGTACCATCTGCTGTTAACGTATTAGATTTAGACGTCCGCCTGATGTGGAGGCGAGAGAGATGTTGTTAGACTGTAACACTTGACTTCCTTGCTGGCACTGTTCTGTAGACTGGGATACTATTAACCTTGCTGTAAAATGTGTTAATATGAGAGCTCTCCTTGTTGAATGCTTACTTACTATTTTCAAATGCTCTCTCCTTTGCTGTATGAGAACAGCTCTTCTCGGCTCTGTTAAGCTCAGGCCAATGTTGCTAACCCATGGGGAGGATGTGGTCACCCCATTGCCACTAGAAGCCTCAAATATCTTGCCTTAACCTTATCTTCTTGTGGCTCTTTCATGTTGGTGGTAAGGGGCTTTGACGTGTAGCTAAATGTGTGCCCACTCCTCAAGCAGCAGGCGGGAGCAGCTGGCACTTAGCAGGCTGGGGCAGTAGAAGTGTAACCCTCCAGTGTCATGAGATAACACTCAGGGGCTGAAAACACCTGCCAGCGCTACTAAAATGATACCTAATAGGGTGTCTCTGCACAGGGGTAATCACACCTTTGACTGCAGCAAAGATACAGCTGTTAACTCCTATCTATAAGCTGTCTGTGACCAAATGCGTTTATCACTTGGATCAACTCTGAGATTAATCAGGTAACAACAAGGGAGAGGGGAAGTTATTATTTAAAGTTGTCAAAGTATTTTAAAGCAAGTTTTAGAAAAAAAAAAAGCTGCTGCCTTACATAAAGTAAAGGAACTGGATGCTGGAAAGGTACAGTTATCTCTGTGTAATCTCCTTGTCTAGCATGGCAAAAATGAAACATCCTGTCCAGGGACCTGGACTGGAGATGGAAAAAAATGCCATTTTTAGCTCACATAGAACTTAAAGTGGAGAGAACCCTGGAGGCTCCATGGAAGGTAACAGTTCTGTTTGCTGATGAAGGTGGGGATAGAAGGTTGAAATAACTGTCATTATATAAATATTTTTTTAAAGGCTCGTTAAAAAGAATGTTATGCTTACTTCTTCATAGATTTCACAGGGTGAGGAAATATTGGTTGGGTTTTTTGGTAGAATGAAGGAAACCCCTCCCTATTTGCCAGCCAGATATGTGTATCTGTTGCATCCACGGCCATGTGGGTAATTTCAGCTCTGGGGAGAAGAAAGCTTTTCAGTTAACTATAGAAGCGTCTGGAGGAGAAGGTGAGCATACAGCTAGTTAAATTACGTATTTGTCTTCACAGGTGTAGTTAGTTTTTTTCATTTGTGTTGGATTTAATATGGAGATGCTTCTTTCTTTCCAGTCTGGGTGCTCAACTGAGAAACAGGTGGCTTGGCAGTCTGCCTCACCAAGTGCTACTAAAAGGAGGTGAGACACAGTCTTAGAAAGATCTGGGTTTATGCAAGAAACAGGGAATCCTCAGGTATGATAACTTGCCCATTATCTATTTAAACAAAAAAAAAAGAATCATTTAGCTCCTGTTCAGTTAATTATGCTGAAAGGTGGAGAAAACCTGATATCAACAGACCAAACTATGCAAAGGGCTGCTGAACTACATCAGCCTCTCACTGAAACTCTGTCTTCACAGGGAAGCTGGTGTTGAGCAGCAGCCAAAGAAGTTTGGCACTGCATTCAACCTCTGTGCAGGCCTGAGGAGCCTTTCTGGCACATGGCTAAGCCCTGAGCTTGCATGGAAAACAGCAGCTTTCCTTTTCTGCAAGAACCACTAGAGAATATCATCACAGCAGCCTGAGCAGAAGCAGTGGCTAAGAAGCTGCAGATCCATCTCAGAGCAGGGTGCTGCACAGCCTTCTCTCTGCATAGTGTGCTGGGTGCTGAGATACATAGAGACTTTTTATTTGCTGGAAAGGGTAAGCAAGATCTTTCATACTGCTCAGTAATCGCTCCTTATGTAGGTTGCTGAGAGTCTCTTCCTCACCTTTGTCAGAACAGGGCCAGGATCCTGGATCATTAGCAGAATTAAAAAGTACTGACATTTAACACATGAGGAATGAACAGGCTTCAGCATGTGTACCGAATTATTTATTTGTATCGGAAAGAGCTGGCTTAATGACACGTGTTTGGTAAGGCAGCTTAGGATTTCTTAAAAAAACAACAACAAAAACAAAGAGAAAAAAAACCCCAAACCACCACCACCACCACAACAATAAAACACCCCTGACCGTACAAGACAGGAGGACTAATGTAGTGACATCATGTAGAAAATGTGTGAGTAGTGAAGAATAAACTGGACTGTGTTAGGCAGCGCAACTTTGCATAGTTCATGGGCAATTAATATGATCTGGATACAGTGGCTGTGTAAAACCACAGGCCCCATTAGCTATAGCAGATGTCACAGTTCCTATCCCTTCTGAAGAAGTCATCGGCCATGGCCATGGGCGGTAGGTAGTCCATGCAGTCCGTGCCGGGGCAGGGGAAGTACTGTGGGACCCTGCTGTCCACATGCTGGGAGCCGCAGGCGGTGCAGCAGCAGGCAGAGGTGGTGTACGGGGAGGGGGTATGGTAGGGGGGTATGGTAGGCCCACTCCTCCGCAGGGCAGCCATAGGTCTTGGTGTCCAGAGCAGAGGGTGGGCAGTGGGTCAGCGGGGTGAAAGGAGATAGCTGAGGAGGAGAGCAGCTGTAGTTTAATGAGCTGGACAGATCAGCTGAACTGGGGGATCCGGCAGCCTAGAGTTTGAGAGAAAAAAAAAACCAAAAAAACAAACACAACAAAAAAAACAGGACATTTCAGGGTGTCACTTGGGGAAATGTGGACAGCAGCCAGAATTTCCATGCTGTTGCCTTTCTCAGGAGTGTCTGGCTACCCAAGGAGATGGTTCGGCCCTTGGAGGCCTAAACCCAAGAGGCAGTTCCTGTGACATTAGTGTTAATAGGGAGCTTCTCTGTGAGTTAGACAACCACTAGCAGGAACTGGGCTATTCTTTGCAGGAAATCAATAGGGTCTGTAGGAGGGACATTCCCTATTCTGCAGCCTCTCTCTAGGTTTGGCTGGGCCTCCCTGTCCTCTGCTTCTAATGGGAAACCATGCAGAAGTCCACACAAGCAGCCTGCGTTGCTGTGGTTGTACCCCATGCCGCTAAAAGCAGCCACATTTCCAAATTGGCTTGCTGCTGTTCTGCCCCAGGATGTGACTCCCTTCCCCGTCTTTCCTCTGAGTGCACCTGTGGCAGCTCCCCTGGCACACAAAACTTACCAGGCCCTGGTTAAAGCAGAGTGGGACTGGCTGGAAGGCATCTGAGGTGTAGTGCGAGGACGTCTGGAAAGCACTGAAGGCTGGGTCTAAGGGTGCATCTGTCTGAAGACAGGAATCTACCAGTTGCTCCAAAGAGCTAGGGCTTTCTTCGCAGGAGAGGTAATTTGATAACTGCCATGATGGACAATAGTTGGGAACAGAAGAGATGGATTCTGCATCAAAAGGTGCTAGGAGAGAAGGTAAACCGGACAGTAGCAGATTATTCAGTATCTGTCTTCACAAAGGGCAGGTGTTGCCCCAGGTCAGGTTTCAGTACTGTCATATGTTCAGTAGCCCTATGGATTTAGATAGGGGAAAATGTCCCTCAGGTTCAGGGTAAATTTTCTAGGGAAGCAGACACCAGGAGGAAGATGCTCAAAAGCATGCAAATAACTTGGAAACTTCAGTCCCCTTGGAAAGCTCGAAAGCTCTTTGAACACTGCTGGAAATTCTTCTGGCTCCAGCCATTTTGGACAGGGATCCAGCTGGAAACTCCCTCAGACTCTTGACCCTCTGGCCTCCCTTCAAATGTCAACTGTTTACAGACCTAGAAGCTTGCCATGCAGTGATTTTTTTCTTCACAGCTTGGCAGATGGCTTGCGCCTTTGCCTCACCCAGTCTCCAGATGCAGGGTAGCTACATCTGCAGGAAGAAGGGGATAACAGAAGAATAATTTTCTCTTTTATCCTCCAAACAGCCAGACAGGAGACAAACTTCTGAGCAGACAAAACGGAGCAAGTCAGTGATAACGTAGCACTGCCTCTACTGGCGAAAGCACGAGTTCCGAGAAAGCTGCAGGGTCAGACTCTCATCATACTGCAACATACTTGCTGGTGGTATGAAAGCTCACAGCAGATCTCCGACTTTTCAGAATCATTATTTTTTCATGTTGTGTTCAAATATGGTTAAAAGCAAAGCCCTGTCCATGTGGAGGGGCAGGGGTCTGAGGGCAATGGAACTGTATCTGGGTAGAGAGTCACTCAGAGTCATAACTGTTTGCAGGTTCGTGTTTAGCTGGATGTGGGGAGGAAGTGAGACGCACCCAAAATACATAAACAGATGGAGACTCTCCAGTCTGAAAAAGCTTTGGTAAGTTTCACATTTCTGTATTCATATAAGCAAATTAATTCCCTAATATTGATGATTTAATAATCTCCTTGTCTATACAATGTATACATTCACACCTGCCCAACCTTCTAGGTCTCTCTGCTTTGGCTGCAAAATAATTGAAGGATCTGTGAGCCCAAAGTGCTATTCCCCCCACCCCCTTCCCCTTTCCTTGGATATTCACATGCAGGAGGAAGAAACTCTTTGTATTGCTGAAAACCTGACACTCCCCTTGCACCTACGGATGCTGCCAGGAAAGTGAGAACAGCCAACTCTGCCGGAGCTCAGCAAAACGCTTCAGGGTGATCTGACCCCCTAGCTCCAATCGGACCCACAGACTGCAGCCTGGAGAAGGTGATGCCAGCAGTGTTACTCCCTAGGGGACGAGCATCCCTTCCTGAAGGGGATCTCACTCCTTGCTGTGGGAAAAATAAACTGCACAAATGAGCGCACGCGAGCGTGCTCCCGAACGGGGTAATATGTACCCTGTTGGCCTCACGGCATCCTCATCTGCATTTCATGGGCTCGTTTCAGGTGCTGATTGGCTGCATTGCCGGTTATCTGGTAGTGCCTGCCTCAACCAAGGGCTGGAAAGACTCCGGGTTGTGGGAAAATTGGGAAGGGGGTGGGAAGGGACATGTGGATGGGCTTTGTACCAACCTGGGTGAGGAGGAGACACAGACTCTGAAAACTGGATACTGCTGCTGCCCCAAGAAACCTGACCAAAGAGAAGGGAAGAAAAGGAATTGTATACACTGTAACACAGGGGAGCATTTTTCTGCATGCTGAGGTAAGTCAAGATTTCACTTCAACCTGTTTATGTAAACCTTATCTACCTCATGGCTGTGAGATGGAAAACTTCCCTAGAATTGACAGAATAAGATTAAAGTGCATAACATGATTTTTCCCTGAGTTTATAGTGGCAGTGGAGGAGCACAACACCACCATGGTGTAAAGCCGTTGATACAGCACCTTGCTAGTGCACTTCTACTGCATTATCACTGTTAATTCAGCAGAGATGTGGCTGCCTTTGAAACTAACGTGTTAATTTCTAGGACCATGAATACCACAGTGGAGGGAT